GCCGCCACCATCCCCTCGCTCCATGTACCTCGACGCGTTTCCAACCCTCTTGAAACTGCTGACGCGTTGTATACGTTTCCCGCGCTTTCTTCGCACGAAATTCCCAGGAAACGAATAATAAACACATAAACAATGACAAAATTCGAAACTTATTTAATCACTGATAAAACATCAGTTTGAAGCTTTGAACTTCATCAAAATGGTCATAAAGACTGTTCATTAACAATGTTCATACAAAACAAATAATTGTCCGTACAAACGAATAAACGATGACAAAATTCGAAACATAAAACGTTGTACAAAATCTCGTAACAGTTTCACGGGCCTCGTGAATGTGGGTCACGACTGACCCGGTCACTTCCGTTCAAGGGTTAATTATTCCATTACAGGAAATTCGGGACGCCAATGATGCCCGCAATAGTCAACGTTAATATCGAAAGTTCGAATAGGAAGCAGGGTAGGTTCTCCCAGAAAGTAGGTGAAAGAATAAAAAGGATATGTAGGAACGCTTAAGAACCGGGAGAAAAAATAGTGAAACGGAGATGCAACTTTTCCTATCTCATAAATCTGAATCGCAACGGCGATTTTCGAACGAATCCTGAATGCATAAATAGCATACTTCTAGAAGATTTTCCCTCATCTCGGAAGCGACTCTCTCTAAGTACTCCCTCCATTAACCTCCTTACCCCTTCCCGTTTAACTAGTTGCACTAGTTACGTTTCCTCGAAAGTCACCAAGTTACATCATCTTCTGAGAAATTCATCGAGTCTTCCAAGATTCGACCGTGTTTTATGTCCTATTCGATAGTGGTCGATGAACGATACAGTTATTCGAGCGAAATTAATTTCAGTGAAATTAATTGCTCGTCTCGAGTGTGACGATCTCTAATTACATGGTCGATAACATTTTATCGTTATACGTCGAATGATTTGGTTATCGATTGGGACTTTTTGTTCGAATGACTTGGTTATCGATTGGGACTTTTTGTTCGAATGATTTGGTTATCGACAGAGAAAATAAAATTGTCATGAAATGAAATTTTGTGACTTTTTCAAAGGCGGGACAAGTCGAATTAATTTAACGCGGGTATTTGAGGCGTTAAGGGATTGCGATGCGCGCGTGTCATTAACCGAAAATAATTATGCAACGTACCATCGTGGGAGCCGAGAGTATCTTTCATTTAAACACGAAAGCTCGTATACGCAATCTGGTCACGATTCCTTCTTATCTCGGAATGCCGCGGTCGTCATGGTGACCCTCATCCCCCACCAGCCCTATTGCCGCCACCATCCCCTCGCTCCATGTACCTCGACGCGTTTCCAACCCTCTTGAAACTGCTGACGCGTTGTATACGTTTCCCGCGCTTTCTTCGCACGAAATTCCCAGGGCTCAGAATTTATGACAAGTCGTTTCTTTGGAATTACGAGTTTTTAGAATGGCTTCTTTAAAACGCTGCCATCTCCCAAGATTAGCGCTCGAGAGATTAACGCGTTTAACCGCGAGACACGGATATACGCGTCGACTATAATCTCGCCGGTAACAACGTATGTTAATCATTTTAATTGGACTTGCATATTAATATTATTACAACGACCACTATTATTACAACGTTAGAGGAATTCAAATCCGAAAATTGTATGGATCTGAATACCCGGACAGGGGGTAGATTAATCCAGTCTGCCAACATCCCTATTCTTAAAGTTTCTTTTATGAGGAACCAATATCTCGATACTTAGCTTTCTTAATCAAACAGCTGTTTCATAAGTTGCCACTTTTTTGTGATGAGAATACTCGTTAAAAATAATTAACTATTTAATGTTATATAGGTATCAAAATTTATAGAACTGTATGACCAATGTCTCTAGATCTCTATGAATGCCAATTCCTGTACTTTGGAAGATCAGTATAGTTAACCCCTTCCCGTGCCATTTATTTAACAGCTGCGTCAGTCAAAACTAATTATTCAGGGCTATAACATTAAAACGAACAAAGAAAATTAGAATGTTGTAACAATTTTATATTCAGGGATCCTTGATAATGTAACTTATAGCTGGTCCTAAATTTCAAGTTGAAGAGTATTCAAAATTTGAGTAAGGTCTGCCACATTTTAGCTGTAAGTGCGTCACGAGTGAGACTCGTGAAGTACGGGAAGGGGTTAAATAGCTAAATGGCAATGCTTGTAACATAACTCTAAATTGTCGTATACAATTATGAATATATCTCTAGATCCTTATATTCGATGCTACAAATGTCACTAGATTTTGATGGGTTTTATATCCCTGGATTCCTATAGCTTTGAATATCAATATCCTGAGGTTATATTCTGAAGGCAATATAGAATATACCTATTGTACAATGTTCCGAACATCCCTAGATTCTTATACAAAACTATATATTCCAACATCCCTAGATTCCTATACCCTTGAATATCAAGATCCTGAGGTTTTTATATTCCGAAGGTAATATAGAATATACCTATTATACCACGTTTTGAACATTCCTAGATCGTTATACAAAACTATATATCCTAACATCCCTAGATTCCTATACCCTTGAATATCAAGATCCTGAGGTTTTTATATTTTGAAGGTAATATAGAATATATCTACTGTACCACGTATTGAACATCCCTAGATCCTTATACAAAACTATACATCCTAACATCCCTAGTTTCTTGTATTTCTAAATCCTGATATTTCCAGTTCCCTATACAATATGAATCTTTATTAAACCAACTGTATGTTTCGTTATTAATTTACTATGTACTCAATAAAATTAGGAAACAGGTGTAAGAAAGTAGTAATTGAAATGGAATAAAGTATCCATCGACTAGTTATTGAGAACTCGCTGTCATATAAGCAGTTCTTCCAACGCTCGAAACGCGCTACACGAATTTGTACGATCGTAAAGTATTGGTCGTAAAACGGAAAATGTCTCGATTCTCCGGCAGCGAAGAAGCGTGCGAGGATTAAGCCAACGCGGTAATGGAGCCCATCGTACATCCGGTTCAGGTAAACTAACGGCAATTACACCGACCGCAGGTCGCACCGGAATTATTTCCTTGTTTTTGAATTAACGTCGCTTCACCTCGACTCCCGACAGCTTGTACCGAAACCTCGTAGGAACTGGCGTCGCTGCCCAGGTAAATCCGTATAAAAGAGAAAACAAAGAGAAACGAGCCGTTCCTATTGTACCTGACCTCTCTCCCTTCGTTCGTGTTTCTAGCCTGACAAAAGCATCGTAGAAAATATTTTTCGAACGATGGACTTTTAAAGCAAGGCCGAATTAACGCGATTCTGAACGACGATTTCGAACTCGACTTATTTGAAATCTTTGTACGTGAATGATACGAATGACGACATATATTTTTGCGAGTAATCCTGGTTATCCTATCGTTATTTCTTTTAGGTTCACCGATTATTTACGCGCTCCGAATGTATCGTATCTATACCGTATTTTCGCCACGGGATATCGCGGATCTCGATTGAAAATCGATCGAGGATTTACAGTGGCGCGAGACGGAAAAGATACGAGTCTACGAGTTTCTTGTTTACCCGTCTCGTATCGATAAACAAAGAAACTGAGCAGCTCACGTTGCATTGTTATCGATTGTTGCGTTACCGACTTTTTCCCTCCCGCGACTCTGATATCACCCCAAACGCAGCAAACGAACGTAACCAAAAATCTTCCAAGAATTTCCTTCATTTCGATCGATGCAATCGAGGATCAAACGGAAAGCAGACCTCCAGAAGTTAACAAAGAAATATTCCTTAAACGGAACTCGAAAGTAATTTGTCGAATACAGAAAGACAGAGTTATCGACAATATTCGAAGGACCACGTAACGCAAAGAAGTGGCCGACACGTGATAACCGTCCGAACTGGATAAATCGTATCCGGAAATAAAATTTAACGTCGCGACGTGCGCCTCTTAAAACCCGATAAATCAAGCAAACAACTTCACGCGACAATACGTCATTCTATTTTCGTAGCGGGCTGCAAGAACTACCGCGTGTAACAAGAATTTTAAAAGGGGGAAGGAAGAAAAGAACGGTGATTTATACCGTTGCTTATCGAACTCACAAATTACCGAGTCGAGAAAGGGGCAACACGATTTACGCACACGCTAAGAAGGAAAGTGCGTTTACTCTCTCTAGCCGCTAGAGATTCTCGACGGCTCTCGTTTGATGCGTAACGAACGTGGAAAGTGGCGCTAATTAGTCGAACGTTCGCCAGATTAAAACGTTTGGAAAATTTCGACTTGGGAGCCGCTGCTCCAAACTTGTGATTTAATATTATACGTATAATAATAAAGTTCTATAATAAAATTAATGAAATCAACTATTAGAATAATAGTGAAATAGCAATATATTTGTATGGTACAATAAGCGGAATGGTAAGCAGAATAATAAAACAGTAAAATCTGTATAATTTAATATTACGCGTATAATAATGCAGTCCTATAATAAAATTCATGAAACGGTCAACTATTAGAATAATAGCGAAATAGCTGTATAATTGTATAGTACAATTGGCGGATAGCAGCACAATAAAATAGCAAAACAGTAAAAGCAGGTAATTATACAGGAGTATACTTCAACGATTTCAATCACCTTGAAATATAGGCAGGGACGATATACATGTAATTAGAAGGGCGGTTCTAATGACTTTATTTCCGTGCAATTAGATGTGTGAAATTAAATCCGAGGCAGTTAAAAGTTATTCAAAATAAAATCTTTGACAACATAGTCGAAGGTCATCGAAATCGGCGTCTTTTCTACGTAATAGTAAAAATAATGAAATAGTGACAATAATAAAATAGAAGAAGCAACCGGTCGAACGTTCAATTTGCAGTTACATATAAAGACGCAGAAAAACATTGTACTATCTGTAGAAAGCAAGACATTTCTTTTGCGTAGAGAGTCGTTTGGTCGGAGAAAAAAGATTGGACGTAAACAAAGGATCTATCAGGTACAGATAGAGATAAGGTAATAAACTTACCAAACGACACCGAAGGCACCATATCCGATGGGTCTGTCGGGCTGAACGGGATCCTGGGCTGGCGGCGGCGGCGGGGGTGCAGGAGCGGCAGGGTGGTAGTAGGTGGGGGGTGGTTGGGCCGCAGCCGCGG